AATTCATAGCCATGCGAGGGGCTGTCATAACAGTTTTTAAAGTGAAATAACCTTGTAGTCTGATTTCTTCACCTTTTAAGAGAGATTTTTTGGTCTCTTGTAAAAGTTCATCAATTATTTTGGCTACTTGATTTTGCGGATATTTAGTTTTTTTGGATATTCTTTCAGTTAATTGGGATTTACTTGTTATAGTTGATTTAGACATATATTTATTATTTTTGGTTCCTTCCTCCTTATACCGGCCTAAATCTTACCAAATTCTCCAAAGTTCCAGCCCTTACATAATGGGAAGTAGAAGCCAAACTAACATGCCCTAACACTTTCTGCAACACCGGCAAAGGCATGCCATTTATCGCTTGATAAGTAGCAAAACATCTCCGGAGAGTATGCGGTGCCAATTCTATATTATTCGGTAAATTCATCTCCTTCTTAATTTGCTGTAAAAATTTAAAAAAAGTAAAACGATTAGCCTTAATTGGTTCTCATTTTCTCATTCTCAACTCTTTTACTATTTCCGAGCCAACAAATACTCATCTTTCTTTTTGCCCTTTACCTCTTAGCAAATAGAGATTTTTATATTCGGGTTGCTGATGTTCCAAGGATAAATCAAAGTTTATTGCTTCTGATATCCGCAATCCCACTTTTCAGCCCAATAAAAAAAGACATTCCTGTTCGGATTTCTTAAATTCTCCTTTTTTATTTTTGCGGGTTAGCAAATATTCTCAAATTTGTTGTAAAAGTTGCTGATTAGGTAAAATGGTTAAATCTTTTTTACTTTTAACTAATTTATTTTTACTTGCCACTTTCTTTTTCAATTTGGTGTTAAGCATTAAATAATTTTACGGCTTCTTGAAACTAAATCGTTCTTTTGTGGCAAGTTTGTAAGGCTCCAAATCTTTTATATTTTCTAATCCTTTTTTACCTCAGGGAGTAGTGAAAATATTTCGTTCGGTTAAAAATTGTTGAAGTTCCGTTAATTTATCAAATTTCAAACTTCATTTTTCATTAACTCTTCCTTTCAGAGTATAGCGAATTCCTTTTTCATGAATACTCCCAATACCGACTACAAATCTGCCTTTGCTGTGTAATTCTCCAATAGGTTCTCCATCTTTATTCACTAACCAGCAAGATTTTGGAAGTTCTTTAATTAAAAAATAGCGATGAATACCCTTATTAGTCTCTACAAAACGGCTATCTTTTATTCTCTCTTTGGCTCATAAGTCATCCAAGTCAATCACTACAAAATAATAATTGCCAATGGGAGTGCCAGTTCTTAAAGAATATTCTTGATTAAGTTCGAGTAATCGTTCAATGCTTCGGTATTCAGCATAATATTTATTTCATCCACTCACTAAGGGCTTTTTAAATTTAGTTGGTAATAAAATATGTTTACGGGCTAAAATTCTTAAATATTTAGTTTCGGTGATAGTTAATTTATGGTCGGACATAATTTCTGAATTAAGGTGTCTCTCTTATTGATTACGCTAATAGAGCGAGAGAGAGGAATGAGAGAATTCCTACTCTACAAAGAAGCAAAAATAATATAGAGGAGTAAAAAAAAATCTCTCCTCCTCTGTTGGTTTTTCTTTTTTTTCGTGAAGAACCTTTAAAAACTTCACGGCTCCTTTGACCTCGGTTTGACCTCCGAGATAAGGCTCCTAGTGCCGATGGCACACTGATAAAGATTTATCAGTCTCTCCCCTAGTAATTTCCATAATTGACGGATATAATCCGGGTTATTCTGTCACTTTACTAGTTTTACGCTCCATTTTTTTACTCTCTGGAAGAGGTGGGCTTCCTTACCGATATTATCGGCTCAACTTATACTATCCAGAATTCGCATTGTATCCTTTTCTTTTGTCCCTGTGAAGACAAGCCCCGTCCAAGGTTTAGCCTCTTTTGGGGCAGATTGATTGGCGTTTTTTTAAGAGAGAACGCTAACTCGCTATTTTCTCACTAAATAAATAATTCCTCAAATTATTGCGATTAGCGGAAGCACTAAAAAGGCCAAAATCGCTAAGGTGATTCAGAGGACGAATAAGGAGGCGAGAATTTTCCGCATTCTTCCTAGTAAAAACAAACCAAGAACAATGAGGAACATGATAATCAGTCCTTTGGTAAAAAATTGAAGTAACTCGCTCATAATTATTGCTTGGGTATTCACCAGCCTTTTTCATTCTTAACGACAATATCTTCCTCCTTA